TGTGTGTGCTCACCAGACAGAGACAGAGAGACAGAAAGCGAGAAATCACCCCCCAGGGGAGATGGCCACACCACAATCCCTTCTCCTCCATTCTCCTCTCAGGAGCTTGGGCACGCACGCACACACGCCCAGCATGAGTTTTAAGCCACCGGATCCGGAACATGAACCGCGGTCAACTACATGGGAGTCCAGCAACATAGCCATTACACTAACTGCTGGTCCCAATAAAATAATTCTTTAAAAATTCATACATGTTCTACATTAAACCTAATATATAATGAAAATTATTTTCAACTTACTGTTCTACTGTTCCTATAAAATTTTTCTATGAAGTCTGGTGTTCCTTCCCTGGAAGGCAAAAGGTATTTTTGTTTGTTTGTTTTGGGAGAGCCAAGAGGCTCAGTCAGTGAATGGGCATTTATTATATTATAAGCCTTGTAGTTGGAAAGGATGATTTGCTGGGTCCCTGAGGATTTATCCCCACAGACAGTGCCAGGCTTTGACTTCCCTGAATAAGGGAGTAAGGCTACCATGAGAATCACCTGGTCCTTGCCTTGTCTGATGTTTGACTTGCAGCACCGAGGGATGCTCTCTGAAATATACAAACTGTGCCTTTTGTAAATAAAATGCCTTTCCTGATGGGAACATTGGGACCATGGTTTTATTAGAGTAGTGTTCTGGAGGGAAATTGTGCTTTTGTTTCCAACAATGTATTTTGGTCTTGATAAAACTATAAATAAATGACAAATTTGTCTTGACACCCCATTGATCAAACCTATTTTTGATGCTAAAGCAGTGTGACTAAGCTCAAGAAGAAACATTACCCAGGTTTGATGGTGTTGACTGTTGAGGAGAGCAGTTGGTATTCAAATCCCTGGGGCCGAAGAAACCTGTCACAGATAACTTTTTATGAGGAATTTAAAATGCCAAGTCAAAGTCTGGAATGTCATCCACAGAGAGCAACAAGAGATTTGAGGGAAATCTGTATTAAACTGTTCTAGTAGATTGGCAGCACATGGAAAAATCAGAAACTTCTCTGGGCAAGTGTCAATGAAAAGTCCTAATCCAATTTCTGTAGTCTTACTGGAGATGACCCAAAATAGTAAACCTCATTCCCTTTCCTAAACTCTGCATAGTAATAGAGCTGAAGAGCTGGGTTACTGCTCTGTCATGGTGCTGACCAATGACATTATGTGGGACACAGATGTGAGTCTAACCCTTAGCCACTTCACCCACATGGCGCTTATGTTAGAGTCAAATTTCATTTATGTTTACGAAGCTGATGAAGACTTTAGATGGTACAAGATTCTGTGTGGATTAAAAACATTCTACTACTTACAGAAAGAAAAGGACTTATTACTATAAAGAAGTTGAGAGGTAATTATAGTACAAAGGGCAATGTCTTAGGTAATTAGAATTTTCCAAAGGGGAAAAATACATTTAATAACACTACAGCACTTTTTTAAAAAATAAAGATAGCCCGCTGTTTGGTGTTTACAGAAGAAAAGCAGTCATCTTCTTGGGGTGATCTGTGATCCATTACAACTCAGACTAACAGGGGTTCAGATCCTCTACCCTCACAAGTCTGACACATTCAGGAACATATTCAGTGGCTTAATCTAATCTGATGATCTTCAGGTATTCATTTGTATATTTTTCCTTTTACACTGTATACATTTTTCTAAGTAATTTCCCTCCACAAATTCAAGCAACCTAAAATATACTGGATAGGCTACAAATCTTCTCAAACTATTATTTGTACACAAGGCAAAGTACAGTAGATTTACAAAATTACTTGAAAATACAATGCCATCAATGGGAGGTAATCACAGCATTGTTTTTACTTCCTGAATATAAACCCTTTTTATTTGTTTCCTTTTCTTTTTTTTTAGTTAATTAATTTTTACATTTTCCCACAAACATCTACTTTACATATCGAAAGGGTTTTTAACTCTTTAAGAGTCCCCTAGGAAATGGTTCAGGAAGTATGCTTCAACTCAGGGAGTGATGCCTGACCTGACTGATGGTGTGTGGTCCTTTTCAGAGCTGGAGGCCGAGGAGTGGTGCAAGCACCTGTGCATGGAGTGTCTGGGGACCAGGCTCAATGACATCAGCCTTGGGGAGCCCGACCTTCTGGCAGCAGGAGTGCAGCGAGAGCAGAACGGTATGTGCGGGCCGACATTTGAATGTACACTAGTTACAGAACTTTGAAACTGAAAAGAGCTTTCGAAAGGTTTCGAGCCAATCTTTCTTTTTTTTTTTCCATTCTATGAAAATAAACTAAAATATCTGCATTATTGAAGGACTTTCCTAAGATGGTATAGCAACTAGAGAAAATACCAAGGGACAGCCTCGATATCCTGGCTTTTTGTCTGTGTCATTGCTATTTTTCCAAATAACGAAGAGGTTCACTCATTGTACATGAGGCTTTTGCAATTACAGCATCCTTGTAAGTTCTGCTTTCAGAGTTGTCATAGATTTAGTTTATATTTACAAATTGGGCATCAGAGTTATCAATGACTCTTAGGGTATTTAGCTACTAATAAGAACAGGGAAGCACAGTAGATGAAATCTCAGGGAATCACTAAATTTAGGTTCCTGTGTCCAACATGGTTTACTTACTACCTTTTTCTCCAATTGAACAGGCATTTCTGATCACTGACTGCTGCATGTTCTTGATTAACAATGCCACATGATGAAATGAGAGCAGTGTGCGTGTGGTTCAGGGTATAAATATTAGTTCCACACTCATTTTTTTCTATTTAAAAAGTAATTATCAGCACCACTAGCTGATATAATAGTATAGAAATTGAAACTTTTTAGTATTTCTAATTTTCTATAGTATTTGGAAAGTTTGAGGTATATTGGTAAAACTTAACAGTAACTTTTTAAAAAAATTCTGGGGTCAGTCCTGTAGCCTAATGGTTAAGGGAATCAGATTCCATATAGGTGACTGCAGTTTGAGTTCTGGCCCTGACAGCTTGAGAAATATGCAAAGTACCTGTGCATGCAAGCTCCCAAATCCCAACATTATGGAGAAATCGAGAAGGGATTGTGTGTGATCATGCCTCACGAAGAAGGGGGTATGTTCTTCCCCTCTCCCTTTCTCTGTCTCAATGTCTCTCTCACTTCTCTGGCAAACACATGCACTTTCTTTTTTCTTTTTCTATTTTTTAAGGTTACTTATTTATTCCATGACACAGAAACAGAGAGAAAAGGCACAGGCATCTTCCATAGGGTCTCAACACCACACTTCACCCATAATCTCAGCCCCTGACCCATGGGCATGCATGTGCCCATTGTACTCAGGGAGGTCTCCAGACTGGAACCAAGAACCTTCCCATTTGGGATTGCCTTGCAAAGCATCATGTTTTACCATTGCACCACCATCGAGCCCCCAACTAATGTACATTTATTTATTTATTTACATTTAATCATGTCTTTACAGTGTACATGTCTTTTTACAGTGCAAATACCATGCATGTCAGTCAAGACAGAGATATTACTTTATACTTTATCATCAGCAAATAGCTTCTCATTTTTTTTGTTAATTAAGCATACTTTTACTTGTTTTTTTCTTCCCCTTCCCCCTCCCTCACTTCCAGACTAAACTCTTTTTCACATTTTATTGATTCACAAAATATCTTAAACTAAAAATATGGGCAAAGCTAGAATTTAGTGACAAATTCACTGTAATTTTCTTCTGAAACATTTTTTCTCTTTTCATGCCCTCTTTTACTAAAATGAAGTATTAACTAACTTATCAGCAAAAAAAAAAATTAGGTAAATTTCAGTTTGGTTTGTTATTTGCACAAAGCCATCCCTAGTGGGGTGTGATTCCTTACTTTCCCTTGGTCTCTTTGTCTCTGCCTCTATCCTTTTCCACTGAGCACACACGCTCCTTCTCTTTGACTACCAAGGCAGCAGACACAGCCATCATTTTAGAGAATGAATTTGCACTTTCTTTCTTTAAAGTGCTTCTATAAGCCCAGATAATAATACTTTTTCTCTCTTGCTCTTGGCCTATTCAGAGCTAGTTAAATCTTCTTTAAAAATTATCATTTATACTGTAGGAGATTAATAAAAAGAATCAACTTCAACAGAATATCAAGATTTCAGACACTATCATTTCTAGCTCAATAATTCTAGTGTATGTCTGCAGCTTGGAAGGAAAATACAAACACACACACACACGCACAGAGAGAGAAAGAGAGAGAGCGAGAGGGAGAGAGATTGGCACAATTTCTTACATGCATTCTCTAATATTCTCACTCTCCAGTCAACAAGCTTCCTTGTACCTTTGATAATTCCATTTTGGGGTCTCCCCTGAAATAGCTACCAGTAGGCTATACAACCTCAGGGTCTAGACAAAGATTTCTTTTAACCAATGTGGCCACTTTCTCCAAGACCTCCCCCTTGCCTTGTCATCAATGCCTCTTCCCTAGACAGTCTACTCCCTTACTTTACTTAAAATGTGTAGGGAGGAAACTCTTTTTCTCTTTAGTTAGCTCATTAAAGTCTCTAAAAACTAATGTTGTCTTTAAAACTGTCCTTTCTTTGACCCGTAATTACAATTCCAGATTTATCAGGGTGACACCTTTTAAAACAACAGCATTAACTTCCTTGTGTATGTTTGAAGTCATTAGTGTACAGATTGAAATTATTCTTTTAATGAAATATTTTTCATTATAGGTTCAGTTTTTTTTTCTTTAAGGTATTTGTGTATAAAATTATGTAATTTATTCATTATCAGAAACATTATTATCTTGTCAACGATGTGGTCAGATTTTGTTTAAACTTTTTCTCCTAAGAGATAAGACACATGTGTGTGCAGAACTGATGTGATGAATTACACTGCTGGGGCTTGTGATCCTGAGGTCTTCTGTCATCAAGGAAGTCACAGTGCTCGGTCTTGACCACAGCATTTTTGTTTTGACATTCAAACTTGCTACCTCCCCTCTAGTGTTTTCTTGCCTCTTGAGAGAGCTCAGTCCTGTTGACTCTGAGACTCACTAAGAATAGATATATATGCAGATAATTTGCAAAGGTGAGCGATAATGTGTGTTGCTGAGATAAAGCTGGTTTATCGATTAAATTCTTTGCTATAATCATCTTTATCTACCACTGTCAGCTGCTTTCATATTGCTGCAGAATCCCACATAGTATAAGGGACAGTTAATCAAACAAGCTCATATACACCCATAGACAGACACATAAACACTCATTCTTAAACTTCAGATGACACTACCACAGGAAAGTGTATGTTAAATGGACTTTACTGGTTTTTTTTTTTTTTTTTTTTAGAGAGAGAGAGAGTGATTCCTGTATAGGGCACAGGTGCTTGCCGGAGAGACAGAGAGAAAAAAAGAGCAAGAAATCACCCCCTGCCCAAGGGAATGACCACTCCTCAACCCCTTCTCCTCCATCCTCTTCTTTGGATTTTGGGAACACATGCACACGTGCCTGGCATGAGTTTTAAGCCACCCGATCTGGGACTTGAACCATGGTCGACTATGTGGGAGTTCAGAGACATAACCATTATGGTATCTGCTGGTCCCTAGATGGGCATTTTAAACTTAAAATTCTTACAATTTCCAGGCTCTCCAGGTCTTTCTGTAGTTTTAAGATAGGCTTAACTGACCTTAAAAAATATAAATGTGTAATGCTATAGTCATAGTTACTTATAAAGGATTTAGAACCTGTGATAGCAATTTGGGAAAGCAATTTTGCATCTTAATCATTAATAAAAAAGTAAGCATCATGACCAAGAGACAACTCACTTGTAGGAAATCTTAAAGTTGCTGTTGGAAGTAGATACAAAGGATATTTCCAACTTGCTATCGATACAAGAGGATCTCTATTTGGAACAACAACAACAACAAAAAGAAATGGAAAATTAATCTCAGACATCATCTGGTTAACTCACAGTCAGACCTGAGGGTTTGGTTTGCCAGGGACCCAGTGGTTCTATCAGTGGACTAGAATCTGTATGATCTCCCTACTATTAAACCAAATGCATATATAACCTTTTTCAGGAGCCAAAAATGTACACTTGTCTGAATTTCTTACCTGGATTGTCACAGTAAACCTGCTCCCTGCACTGAACTCAGACACTATTAATTATCATCTATTCATTCATTATTCACCTGTCAAACATTTTTAAGGATCTGTAGTACATAAGAACTAAGCTGAGAAAATTCAGAGTTAAAGTATGGTCATTGCTTTTAAGAAGTTCCCAAAGTAACGAGAGACAAATCTAAAAACAAGGTGTGCTGACGAATGCTTTGTAAAGTACTATTGGAGGTGCCAGTCACCATGAAGTCTCAGCACAGCTATCAGCTCATCTTTATTGTTCATGCGTAGGTGGAGTGGCTAAAGTATGGCTACGTAGACAGCGTCCTGGTGAGAGGAACCCCCAACCACTGATGGTGTCCATGTCTGCTCCTTCTATCTCTCATCCTCCTTACACTTGCAGATACCCATAGCATGTTCTCAGAACAAAAATAACATTAATGCAAGACAGAAAGCCAAACTTGTAAGACACTTTAAGCCTCTGTATAGTTCATGCTCACTAACATCCCATTGGCCAAAGCAAGTTCCAGTGGCCAAACCCAAAGTCAAGAAACACAGAGACACACTCCACCTGCAAAGCTACATTTTGAATATATAATCTAATATAGACAGGAAGCAAAGAATTGAGCAGATGGCATAATAGTATGTCACTAGACTCCCACATAGTCAACCACAGTTTAAGTCCCAGACATGGCAGTTTAAAGGGATTGCAGCATGGCCATGCCCACTTGGGGGTGATTTATTGCTTTCTGTCTCTTAGTCTGTCTCTGTCTCTCTGAAAAGCACACACATCCTACAGCAAAAATCTCTTTAAATGCATATGATCTACCATTTGAGATATAGTAAAATTCATGCCAAAAATAAAAGTACTGTAGTATTGGTACGATTGATTCTAATTAAAGTAGCCTACTCTCTTTTTTTAAAAAGGTCCCCACTTAATATATACCGAGTGTCCGCACTATGTGACTGAAACTAATTGACTAAAGAATATAAAAACACAGTATATAGTTGTAAATACCAGATATAGTGTGTGTGTGAAAGAGGAGGGTCTGAGGAAGGACATTTAGAAGAAAAATAGGGAGACAAAGCATT